ACTCCAAAAAGCAACTGAAGAATTAAGTATCCTTAAAAACAAATAATTTGAAACTAATCCTGCTGTAACAAGTTTTGACCTTTCAGTAAAATAAAATAAAGCCCTGATTTTATCTGCTAGGCTGTTTCTGTACAGCCTGCAAGTTAGCATGGTTTGCATAAATTAAAAAACAAACTACAGAAGAATACACAACAGAGGCTGTATGTGGTCTGCAAAGCCTAGAATTCTTAACTATCTGCCCTTTATAGAAAAAAATGTTTGCTGCCCATTCCCAGACTACAGCCATCATAAAAACAGTATCTACTGAATCATAAAACATTGTGTATTTTACCTATTGTTAAACAGATTCTGAAGAGATTCTGGAGCTGAAAGTACTGGTTCTACATCCTGGTCACTGAGAGGTAAGGGGTCACCTGATGACTCCAGCATCTGCTTAAGTCCAACTACATTGTCCAACAAAGAATCCAGATTGTCATCATCTTTTGAATGTTCCTAGATACAAATAAAAGCAGAATAAGGCGATGCAGGTAAAACTTACATCTGTAAACACACTGACTCTTTAGTAGAAAAGGATGTCTATTTGATTACTAAGAAATTTGGAACACTGTCCAGAAATTATTAACTTAACATTAAACATTAAAATAAAACAAACACCAAAACACTTGTCATTTCATTTCTAAACAATAGCAACAGAGGGTACCCTGCATCCAAGGAACAGACAATTCAAAAAGTACTGTCTACATTTACTCCTTAAAATTCCTAACAGGATAGAGGACTTCAAATTATTAATTCAAGCAATTATTTGAAATGACACAAATACCCAAATAAAGGCTCACTATTTTTTAAACTAGTCAAACTGAGAGGAAAATAAGCCTCAGGAATGCTCTGTTTTTGTTTTTCTTTTTTACCAAAACAAGCTTCTCTAGTTCAAGGAACAAATTTTCTGGACTTTCTTCTTTGCTTTGTAGAAGCTGTTTTAACTCTGCAGCATTAATACTCATTGTCCGTGATGAATGAGCTCCCTCTACTTCCATGAGACCATTATCATCTCCACAACATCCCTGTAAATGTTACACATAAGTTAAATTTGAGAGCAGAGAAATTTACAAAGATGCATCACACTTATTCATAATATCTAAGCCATATGCTGCAATCTTTCCTTCATTTTTTGATTTTTACATCAGTACAAATGTTTTAAGAAGGATTTAGTCAGATCAAAGGTCAAGAATGTTTTCTTCAAGTAAGACTCACAAAATATTTAAACAGGTAAGCATATATTTTACTGGCACCAAGATTTCTCAACAAAATACCCAATGGCAAATACACTGGCACTTGTAGGACATGTGACATACTGGTTGATACTCAAGAGTTAATAAAATGCTTGCTATAAAAAAGAACTGATGAAACCTGAAATTATCTTTCTGAAGATAACACAAACAACTACAGAAAACAGTAACTATCATATTTAAGACTACATTCTGTCAATACAAAAGTGAATATTTTCTGCTTTAAAAAAGTATGCCACATAATAAAATGAATTCTGGAGTGACAACATTTCAATAACAGAAAATCCTTCTAACAAAATATATCCTGCTTCATGAGAAGAAAACCATCCATATTGTCCCATATACTTATGGTAGAAAGCCATATACCTACCTAAATATTGTATAAAATCTTTAGCCTTGTTTTTCTGTTGTTGTTGAGACAGGGTCTCGCTTTGTCTCCCAGGCTGCAGTGCAGTGGCACAATCATAGCTCACTGCAGCCTTGACCTCCCCAGGTTCAAATGATCCTCTCATCTCATCCTCTCAAGTACCTGGGAGTAACTACAAGCACGTGCCACCATGCCCAGTTACTTTTAAAATTTTTCATACATTTGGGGGTCTCACAATGTTACCTAGGCCGATCTCAAATCCTGGACTCAAGCAATCCTCCCACCACCTTAACCTCCCAAAATGCTGAGATTACAGGTATGAGCCACCTCCCTTGACTTTTTTTTTTTTTTTTTCAGACAGAGTCTCGCTCTGTTGCCCAGGCTGGAGTACAATGGCACGATCTCAGTTCACTGCAACCTCCGCCTCCTGGGTCAAGCAATTCTCCTGTCTCAGCATCCCAAGGAGCTGGGATTACAGGCTTCCACCACCATGCTTGACCAATTTTTTGTATTTTTAGTAGAGACGAGGTTTCACTACGTTGGCCAAGCTGGTTTTGAACTCCCAACCTCAAGTTTAGTTTAATTTTGTAAAAAAAAGTACAAAAATTAGCCGGGTGCAGTGGTGCCCATCTACAGTCCCTCCTGAGTAGCTAGGACTGTAGATACGCACCACCACACCTGGCTAATTTTTATATTTTTAGTAGAGATGGGATTTTGCCATGTTGCTGAGGCTGGTCTTGAACTCCTGGGCTCAAGCAATCCACCTGCCTCAGCCTCTCAGTTCTGAGATTACAGGAGTAAGCCACCACACCCAGCCCGTTTTTCTTATTTTAAGGGACAGAGTTGGTCAGGCATGGTGACTCATTCCTGTAATCTTTTTTGGAGGCTGAGGCGGGTGGATTGCTTGAGCCCAGGAGTTCAAGACCAGCCTGGGCAACATGGCAAAATCCCATCTCTACTAAAAATACAAAAATTAGCTGGGTGTGGTGGTGCACATCTAGAGTCCCAGCTACTCAGGAGGCCGAGGTGAAAGGATCACCTGAGCCTGAGGAAGTCATGGCTGTAGTGAGTCATGATTACACCACTGCACTCCAGCCTGAGCAACAGAATGAGACCTCATCTCAAAGAGAGAGAAAGAGAGAGAGAGAGAGAGAGAGAGAGAGAAAGAGCGAGAGTCTCACTCTTTCACCCAGGCCGAAATATACTGGCACAATCATAGCTCACTGCAACCTTAAACTCATAGGTTCAAGCGATTTCCCCGCCTCAGCCTCCTGAGTAGCTGGGACTAGAGGTGCAGGCCACCAAACCAAGTAGGGCAGGCATATTAATGGCTTCTGGAATTGTGCTCATAATACTCCATGACTTTGGAAAATACTAACGAGAGAAATCTTTTTTTTTTTTTTTTGAGATGGAGTCGATCTCTGTTGCCCAGGCTGGAATGCAATGGCACAACCTCCGCTTCTTGGGTTCAAACGATTCTACTGCCTCAGCCTCCAGAGTAGCTGGGATTACAGGCGCCTGCCTGTAATTACACCCAGCTAGTTTTTTGGATTTTTAGTAGAGATGAAGCTTCACTATGTTGGCCAGGCTGGTCTCAAACTTCTGAACTCACATGATACACCTGCCTCAGCCTCCCAAAGTGCTAGGATTACAGGAATGAGTCACTGCACCCATCGAGAAATCTTAATTAAATTTTAACAATTAAGATTTTAGAGTGGGGAAAATAATCTTTAATTCACATATGTATGATAGATCAAAACTACCAAAGCATAATAAACTTTATAGCTACCCCAAAATCACAACATCCAAAACAATCAGTAAATTAAGTAACAAAAATAAGTAAATACTTAAGAGTCTAATAAAACTTCGCTATTCTGAGTTACCTTAGCAAGGTAACTCAATGTCATGAATTTTTTTTTCTTTTGAGACAGGGTCTTGCTCTGTCACCCAGACTAGAGTACAGTGACACAATCATACCTCATTGCAGCCCTGAATTCCTGGGCTCAAGCTATCCTCCAATCTCAGCCTCTCAAGTAGATGGGACTACTGGTGGGCACAACACATCTGGCTAATTTTTGTTGTTTCTAGAGACAGGGTTTTGCTGTGTTGTACAGGTTGATCTCAAACTCTTGGGCTCAAGCGATCCTCCCACCACACCCTCCCAAAGTGATGGGATTACAGACATAAGCCAGCACACTCATCTAAAAATTATTTTAAAATGAAGGCACTTGGCCAGTAATCATGCCTATAATCCCGGCACTTTGGGGGGCCAAGGTGGGCAGATCACCTAAGGCTGAGTTCAAGACCAGACTGGCCAGCATGGTGTAACCCTGTCTCTACATCTCTACTAAAACAATACAAAAAATTAGCCAGGCATGGTGGCGGGTACCTGTAATCCCAGCTACTCAGGAGGTTGAGGCAGGAGAATCGCTTGAACCCAGTACACAGAGGTTGCAGTGAGCCAAGACTGCACTACTGAACTCCAGTCTGGGTGAGAGAGTGAGATTCCATCTAAAAAATAAAAATAAAAAAAACAAGATAAAATAAAGTGATCTTTTTTATGTTAGATATTTGATATATAAAGTGATTTAACTTATGGCAAAGTATTTATCTTTTTTTCGAGACAGGGTCTCACTATTTTGCCCAGACTGATCTCAAACTCCTAGCCCCAAGAGATCCTCCCACCTCAGCCCACCAAAGTGCTGAGATTACAGGAGTGAGTCAATGTAACTGGCCAAAGATTTCAAATTTAAGAAACACCAAATACATACATACATACATACATACATACATACATACATATATATATATACACAAACACACACATACTTACAATTGTGTCAGAGTTAAGAATTTGTCTCATAAATTCTAAAAAGGAAGATGCAAGCTCTCCTGTGTCCTTAGTAAATGTGCTGACCACTCGTTTCAGTAAACTGTGCAGAGCACTACTGTTTTTCCTTAAAGAACTGTAAATAAAGAAAATAGAAGATATATATTATCTTAAAATATGAGTGCATAAAACTGGTATGAGAAATGAACTACCTCAGTTCAGACAGAATAAAACTTACTCCATCATTTTAAAAAATGTAAGAAGTACTTTGGTGTGTCTTTGTACACCAATATAACAAAGAAGTGTCAATAGTTACCAACTCCTTTCAAAGCTAAGCTTCGAGATCTTAAAAAAAAATTTCCCCCAAATAATACACTTATAAAACTTAACACAAAAGGCCAGGTGTGGTGGCTCACGCCTGTAATCCCAGTGCTTTGGGAAACCAAGGGTGGTGGATCACTTGAGGTCAGGAGTTCGAGAGCAGCCTGGCCAAGATAGCAAAACCCAGTCTCGACTTAAAAAAAAAAAAATTAGCCAGGCATGGTGGCACACGTCTATGATCTCAGCTACTCCGAAGGCTGAGGCAGGAGAATCGCTTGAAGAATCGGGAGGCAGAGGTTGCAGTGAGCCAAGATCACACCACTGCACTCTAGCCTGTGGGACAGAGCAAGGCTTCCTCTCAAAAACAAACAAACAAACAAACAAAACCATTTAACACAGGAAACTTGCCAGTTCCTTATTTATAAACATTTTATAGCCTAACAATTTCTCTAACATAAGGTTATAGCTGTCGCAGAAGCCTACCCAGAAAGCCTAACTTACAAAATAATAATAAAGAACCATATAATAAATATTTTAGGTAGGCCAGGAGCAGTGGCTCATATCTGTAATCCCAGCACTTTGGGAGGCCAAGGTGGACAAATCATGAGGTCAAGCGTTCAAGACCAGCCTGGCCAACATGGTAAAATCCCATCTCTACTAAAAATTTAAAAATTAGCCAGGCATGGTGGTACATGCCTGTAATCCCAGCTACTGGAGATGCTGAGGCAAAAGAATCGCTTGAACCCAGGAGACCAATGGAGGTTGCAATGAGCAGAAATCGTGCCATTGCACTCCAGCCTGGGCAACAACAAAGAGAAACAGATTAAATTCAAAAAGAAAAATGTTAATAAAAAAAGCACGGGTTCAAAATTGGACTATACCAATTACTAAGCACTACACACAACCTTAAGTGAGTCATATTTCCATGGTCTATCAAAAACTGGGGCCCTACTAGAATGTCTAAAATTTTAAAACTTCCAATACCAAGTTCTGGTGAGGATGAGGAGCAACTAGAGCTCTAACACACTACTAGTGGGAATGAAAAAGGGTATCTGTACTTTGGAAAACAATCTGATAGTTTCTTTTAAGGTTAAACATATACCTATCATACAACCCAGTAACCCCACTCCTAAGTGTATACCCAACAGAAATGAAAACTGAGATTCACACAAAAACCTGTATGCAAAGGTTTATTCATAAACACCAAAATTTGGAAACAACCCAGATTGCTAGAAAATTAGTCACCAATAAGAGCAAACTATTAATTCATGCAACAAAATAAATGAATCTTAAAAGCATTTTGCTAAATGAAAGAAACCAGGCCCAAAAGAATACATGTTGTATGATTTCATTTACATGGCATTCTAGAAAAGACACAAGTATATGGGGAGAACCAAATAAGTGGTTGCTAGTGTTAGATAGAGAAGTTGTTTACTAAAGGGTAGCATGCCAAGAGCTTGAGATGATGTAACTGCTCTGAATTGAATAGTAATAAACACATGACTCTAAGCATCTGTCAAAATACACAGAACTGTACACCACAAAACATAAATTTGATTAGATATAATTTTTTAAAAAAATCAATGAGGATATGAGGAAAAAAATAAGAATGCAGACAATGACCAATGAATCTAACTGTATTACAAATGAACCATATAACCAAACTGAAGGAGACAGGGAAGAAAGAAGCTGACCTAAATAACTTTGAAAAACAGTGTTTTGACTCGATACACTAAGGCTAAAGACAAAAAGAACTGTATACAAACACTACTCCAGTTGCTCAATTTGTTTCTCACAGGAGTAAGGGTTAGTAATGAGTTTGAGAACTACAACTTCATTTGTAAACTAGGACTAAACGAATAAGTAAATATAGATAATGAGAGGTGACTTTCTCACTGTTAGAGAATAAAATAAGTAAGGGAAAAAGCTAGAATTCACTTCTGGTACTGAAGCAAAGTCAAAGCATTAGTATGGGCCTGGTGTGGTGGCTCACACCTGCAATCTCAGAACTTTGGAAGGTCGAGACAGGTGAATCACTTGAGCCCAGGAGTTCAAGACAGCCTGGGTAATAGGTGAAACCTCAGCTCTACCAAAAATAGAAAAATTAACCAGGTATGGTGGCTCGTGCCTGTAGTAGTACTCGGAAGGCTGAGGTGGGAGGATCAGGAGGACTGCTTCAGCCCAGGAGGCGGAGGTTGCAGTGAGCCGAGATCACGCCACTGCACTCCAGCCTAGGCAACAGAGTTAGACACTACCTCAAAACAAACAAGCAAACAGACCAAAAAACCCACCAAATATTAATGAATTCATTTTTCAAAAACATATATCAAATTAACAAATTTATTATTTTAAAATAAATTTCATAATTTATTAACAAAACTTTTAATATTTAAATAAATTAATTTTAAAATATGTTATCTGTTTTATGTAGATAAAATATAAAAGTAAATGTAGATGTGTATGCATGAATTAGGATACATACATGTATTCCCAGGTCTATCCAATGAAAGACTCCAAAATCCATGACACCCTAAGAGCAGTAAACACGCCTAGTTTCTAAATATTCTCCAATAAAAGGAACCAGGTGTTCCTTGGAGAAAAGTCCATTTTGCTGGAAGAGGGAAAATACAAGCTGATCCTGGAACACCTTGCAGTACTAGAAATAGAAAGCACTTTTAAAAAAATAACACTTAAAAAGTCAGAGCTATGTAACACACACCTGCATGTTCTGCACATGTATCCAGCAACTTAAAGCAAAATTTTAAAAAATAAAATAATTTTTTTTAAAAAGTCAAGAGTATATGAAAAGGGCACAGAAGCCAACCTGAAGAATACCTGGTGGCCAGAGTTGGAATAAGCTGAACAACATAAGGATAGTACTGGCTTATATACAATGAAAAAAATTAATGTCTATGAATTCACATTGATATACCTGGATAAACCAATGAAGGAGAAGCAATAACTCTTCCTTATGGAAGGAAAATTAGTAAGTGAAAAAGGAATGAGAGAAATAGAAAATCAACATTATACCACCACAGTAATAAATGCCATATCTTGCCAAGATCCACACTGACAAATACTACAAATGGTGGATGAAAGTTTTCGGCATAAGCAGGATATGTGGATATCATAACATCTCAAAATATATTCTCCAAAATATTTAGTAATTAAAAATGGGAAATTAGTAAGTTTTCAGTGTGAAATCCTAGAAAATAGCACTTCAGCCAAGTGATCGAGGTTAGTATCATCAGTAATACATATAAACATCATGTATTTCCTGATATAATGCACTGAAAAAAGCACATTGCCTGTGTAATATCCCTGTTAACAAAACATAATCTCAATCTAATTATGAGTAAATATCAGACAAACTCAAATTGAGGGATAGTCTACGAAACAAGTGAGCAATACTCTCCAAAAATGTCTTGAAAGATAAGGGGAAACAAAGAATGCAATGCAATGTTAAGATCCTATATTGAATCCAGGAACAGAAACAAATATAATAATAGAAAAACTGGTGAGATTCCAATTAGTTCTGTATTTTAGTTAATAGTATTATGACAAGCTTAATTTCTTAGTTTTGATAAGTATCATACGGGTACTAAGAGGTTAATACAAGGGTAAGGTGGTGAAGGGTACACCTGAACACTACATTATTATTTCTGCAATTCTTCTGAAAGTCTAAAATTATCTCCAAAAAACCTTTTTTAAAAAGTGTAACCTGCCATAGGACTAAATAAGTAAAAGTATACGGGGACCTGTTAATTTGAAAAAAAAAAAAAAAAAAAAAAAA